AAAGTAGATAACCATGGCTCCACAAAGTTACTTCTATCAATGATCTTAGTCCTTCTTTCCAACATTATATTATTTGTGTCTCTGCAATTTTTAATGTGAAAACCTGGCTTCTGGAGTGGGAAAAATATTTTGAGGTGTTTTTTTTGTTGTTCTTGTTGTTTTGTGAGGGTTTTTTTCTTTTTTCTAACTCATATTACTTTCTAAAACTACAACATGCTGCACTTTTTATCAATTACTATTATATTTACCAATGTATAAAATTCTCTGATTTATCAAACAACTGATTTTCCCAGCAGAGAAATTTAATTCCAAATTACTGAATTCCATATGAATATTTTATTTTGGTTGCATATCAGTTTTAAAAAATCCATCCAAGCAAGATTTCAGGCAATGAAATTTTGATTTTTAGATTTTTTTATTTTTTCTGATGGCAGGCAACACAGCAAGGAAGTGAATAATGCTCTCCCTTTTGCAGTGTACAGTTTTCAAAATACCATTGTGTAGTTTCCTTTCCATCTATGCATTTTCTTGAATCAGACACAACTTGCATCAGTATTAAGATTTCAGATTGTTCTTCGTAGTTTTAGCTTATCTCAAAATTAAATTGCTGCAATATAAAACACTGCAGAATCACTAAATTTTACAAAATTAGTTCTTCTGCATAGCCCAGAACAGGGGAGCTGCATGTGGCAAAGCCAGACAGATTTTAAATTATAGTGTAGTTAAGTTCCATGTACTTTCTTAATGTACACCCTAAGAATTACTGGGGCTAACAGCTTCTGTCCTGCTGTGGAGGATTGCTTTGAACTGCTAATTCTCCTGATAGCCTTTCCAAAATGGACATACATTTGAAAGTAATGCCCAATTGAATATGTTTTCAGATGTTCTGTCAGAAAAGAACTGAACCCTAAAAAATTAAAGTACTAAGCAGGTTTGTTTTGCTCTGAGGTCACTCACCTCTGTTACCCTATCCTGTAGCATTTTATAAATATTGGAAGCTGGAATCTGATTTCAGATTCCAAAGATCTGTGCAGGAAGTTTTACCCCACTTATTTTTTTTTTATTTTTTTTATTCTTTGACCCATTTAATTCTTCATTTGATCTTGGCAGAATTATTAAGGGAGCCCAATAGAAGTATGAAGTGACTTGATTTAGAAAACATACATAGATAAACGCTTGCATTTTTAGATTGTATGTAAAGACAAATGACTGTAAATAGAAATCACATTAAGTCAAAAGGCATTTTATCTTTAGTAAGCTCTAATGTCAGCGCCTCAGCAAGTGTTACGTGACACAGCTTCATTACAGTCAGTAGAAGGACAATTTGGTATAGCCATGATATTTCCAGCAGCTCAGAAATTCTCTGCCCTGTGCAGAGAATTCTTCTTCCATTTGAATGCAGGTTATTTAGCTTACCTTTTGGAAGGTGCATGCAAGTAACTTCCTCAGATTGTGCCAATATGTATTAAAAAAATTCAATTGTACCCATGCAGGAATAGGTTTTTTTCCCCCTCTCTCCTTACTTTTACAGCCAAAACCACCACCACACCATCTGAGGGTCTTTTACCATTAATTGCTCCAATTTATTCTTTCTGAGCTCATTCCAGAATTTTCAAGACAGAGAGGTGCATGCAGATCGTGTTACATAGCCACACTGAAATTATGAAAGAGATCTCTTTGCTTCTTCCCACAGGTTCAGGTGTTGAATGACAGGATCCCCTTCCTCGTATGGAAGAGTTACTATTTATTTTATATAACTTAGCCCACTCTGATACAGAGTGCTGTTCTGTGCACTCATAGACATTCCCTTCACTAAAATCATGTGTCACTCTGCCAGCCACCCTTCAGAATGCCAAACAAGCTCAATAAGGTAAAGGTGAAAATAGCAGAGAGTAAAAACGGAAAAGAGCTATCAAACCACCCACTGGTGTATGCCCTCTCCTCAGGGTTTTTCTGCATGCCTTGTAAAGGTGTGATGATTAGACATTTTAAAATTGACACCAGAAAGTGCTAGAAGGGGGCCAGTGATGTTTTTATCCTTAGTCCATGGAAGCAGTACGGAGGATATCTTGATTATCCTTGATAGGTATCTGTATAACCTGATATTAAAGACCCTCTCAGATGGAGATGCTGTAAAATTCTGTGGGTACACTTGATCCAGCATTTAACTCTATTTTTAGCTAGAACCTTTACCTAATTAGGAATCAAAATCTCTTTTTTCTGCAGGCCAAAGTAATTATTCCTTGTGCTATTGCTTATGAGGGTGGAGAACAGTTTCTCGTCCTTTGAAACAGCCTTCTGAAATTCAAACTTCTCTAGAATGAAAAAAATTCAGTTTCCCAATTTTGAGTCTATTGCAGGAGTTCTTGACCTCTGATCAGTTTAATTCTACTGCCCTGGACCCCTGATAATACATTTGTGAATTTCTGAAAGTGGTGTACTAAATAGAATGTAGGATTCCAGCTGAGTACTCATTATTGTAAGGTGCCAAAATAATTATTTTCCTCAACTTGCAGACTTGCACATTCCATAATCATATTTATCTTTTCATAGCAACACTGTATATTGGATCTTACTGATATGAAGATCTTTTCCACAAGAAGAATAGTCTCTATTTTGTGTTTGCCTACCTAATTTCCACTTCCTCCATGCAGGATTTTGTTCTTGCCTTTACCAAATTTTAATTTCCGATTTAATTTTTTTCCCAGTGTACCGGATCACTTGAGTTTCTCATTCTTATGCTAGTTGCTTATCATTCATACCCACACATTAACATTGGCAAAGTTTGTGGGTGAGCAGGATTTGTTTTAAATTAGATTATCAGTCTTGTGGAACTGCACAAACTTGTGTGGTTTGTCTGCACCTGGCCCATTGAGGGAAATGTGCTCACCCATGGTGTGATATCAGCACAGCTGCTGCTTTTGGGTTGGTAAATCAGCCTTCTAAAGAAAGTTTTCATTAGTACTGTTCCTTGATATCCATCTAGCGGTGTAACACACTACCTAGTCATTTTTCCTTATTGCTGAAACCTCTCTAAATATATTATTTTTTCTCATTTTCATTGTAAATTTATACTCTGACAATTTTTCTTCAAATGTCACAATTGATAGAGCTTTACTCCTGCTCTGCTTCCAAATCTCCTGAGCACTCAACTCACAAAAATATCTTCTTGAACAAAAAGTTTAAAGATACATTTAAGACTAATCATGAGTTTCAATTCAAAATTGCAGCATCATATTTCACAGCTAAGAGGAAAAATCCCTTCCCCTCCTCTCATTCCTGCACTCACGAGGACATATGACAGAAAGAGACACTGTGCAATATCTTCCATCAACATTCTGGCCACCGATAATACAGAAATATTCCTAAAATCTGATATTTCATCCTAAGATTTTTCCTGAGTAAGTGCCTGCTTAAGTGCTTTCCCAAATCAGAGCTCAAGCTAATTTGTATTATTTTCCATCTGCTCCATTATTTCTTATAATATATTCATATTGTTTCATTTCTAAGCTGTTTATGTTCTTGAATTAATGAATATGTTAAATAAAATTAAATCAAACAGCTCTCCCAGTAGCCACATTAGAGGATATCACCCTCCAGATCAGACATATCACAGAACTGTTATCTTTATTTGCAGTCTCTTGTTTTTTCTTAGTTCACAGACAGTAGTGTTCCTATTTAAGTCAGATGGGGGTTCTGGGGAAAGCAACATTTCATGGAAATCTACATTACATACTTTAATATAATATTATATCATTTTAGAAAACTATTTGATATTCTGTCTCCTAGAGCATTATCTGCAAAATTAATATGTAGATAGAACATATGATAGGGATGCAAATTTTAAAAAAAAATCTGTCTATTACACATTTTTATTTTTAGTACCTGTAGAACTGAGGGCTCTGGTACTCAAAAAACACCCAGTGACCTTCCAGTGAAACCACAGGATGTTGATGCACATATTTCAGAGCTGGGTGAAAGCTTCTCAGTTGTGACCAAATCCTGCTGCCTCTAGCACAGAGGCAGGAGAAGTGGAGCAAACAGGAATAAGGAGAGGGAGCCAGAGGGTGAGAGCCTGGGGAAAGCAGCTGCTGGTTTGGTCAGGAGCCACCCCTGCAGCAGTGCCTGCTCTGAGGTGCCTGCTGAGAGCAGAGGGGGCATTGCCAGAGCTGGGGGGTTGGCAAAAGCAAGGCAGCAGCACCTGAGCTGTGTCTGCTCCTCTGACACTGCCCACAGCAGGGGGATCTGCCCGTCTCAAGCCTTATCTCCAGGATTACTGTGACCAAAGGCTTGTTAGATCTCTACTGAGCTGGTTAAAACAATGTCACTCCTTCGTGTAGACCGGGAACCACCCAGATTCCAGCAGAGGAAGCATCCAACTTTGCACACAGGTGGCAAAACACAGGCCCACGGTGGCTCTGCTGTGATGGGCTCTGGCACGCTGGGGACGTGCAGTCAACCCCATTTCACTGCCAACACCAGCCACCACCCCTCAGCTCAGGCTGTGGAGGTGATAAGGCAGGGTACCAGGTCTATTTATAACTGCAACCTTTAGAGAGTTTATTTTCAGGAGCAAGTGTGATAGCCCCGTGGGGCTGCAGCTCGTGGTGGTGGTGGTGTAACACGGTGCAGTAACGCAGTGTTTCCATGCCACGGCTCAGATCACTTACACACACACAGCACAGCACTGCTAAGTGCTCTGGGGGCACTGTGCAGTCTCCTCTTACGAACTGCTGCCTGATATTCTTACACTACTACACTCAGTTTTGCCTAAAAGCATTAGGATGGGCAGAAGCATCCTGAGGTGCAGTGAGAAAGCAGGTTTTAAATGGTATTTCATGCTTCCCTCAACATCCTCTATCGAGGCTGGCTGTACACCTCCCCCAAGGTAGAATTTATGGTGATCTGAAGAAAGCAGATAGATGACAGAGCTTTGGTATTTAATTATGTGTCTGCAACATCAATTTTTTATCTTTAATTTTTTTTAGCTTGAAAAAAGTCTGAAGAAAAAATCTGTGGTCTTTATCAACAGGCTCAAACTTTTCTTGTTATATATGAAAAGAACACGGATATTCAATAGTCTTAGGCTGCTTCCAACTATTGTGTGTCCAGAAACCAATTGAAACTTCTGAAGCTTCAAACATGGGGTCATTCTTCACCAGCTACAACACCTGTACACATCCTGCAGGAAAAATCTGTGACATTTCTCTGTGAAAGCTTTAGAACATCTCATTTGCTTTTTTTTATGCCTTTCCTTCTCCCCATTCATTTTTCTCTCTTTTCCCTTGGTCTTCTTTCTGCTGTCCCTCTTTCTACTCCTCTATTTTCAGACACTTCCCATTGCCCTCAATCTTTTCTGCCAAGGTTTCAGTCCTGTGCACTGGCTGGAGCAGATGTTCACACAGAAAGTTCTACACACAGATTGGAAACACCCAGCATGCTGGATGGGAGACTCTCTCAGCTGCCAGTGCTCAGCCAGGACTGGGCAGCTGCTCATTGCAATTCATTTCTGAGACCCCAGAGACTCCCAGAGCCTCCAGTCTCTCTCCCTAATGGGCACCCAGCAAGGTACAAGCCAGGGACCCCAGGATGCTGATGTGGGGTTTTGGTAATCAACCAACAGAAACCGCCAGAGGTGTAAATGCAGACTAAAGTTCCACTTGCTGCAGGAGGGCAAACCTGTGTTCAAACCCACCAGGCACTGCAGACGCTTTCAGCAGGAATGTTTTCACTTTGCAAGGAGATTTGTATTCATCAGGTGGCCTCTAAGAGCAGCAGCCCACTCTAATAAGTGTGCTGATAAAAGAGGTCTTGTCCCCAAAGGATGTCTGATTGGGACGTGTCATTTCTCCTGTAAAAGATGATTACAATAGTCAGACACTGATTGTCTTCTAACAACCATAAGGTGACAGTCTTTTTTAAAAAAAAGTTAAAGAAATTACCCTTCTTCAAGGTTGGTCAGGACTGATGAAAGTTACTGGACTGATGACTCTGAGAAACAAAGTCCTGTGCTTCACAGCACAGACATTATCAGTACAGCAAAATATCACCTAGTTAGCAGCACTACATGACCAGCAAGGTTCAAACCTGCATGCAGGGACAGTCCTCAGAGCCAGGGTTAATATGACTTCCAGTTCTCCTATTCCAGCTGGGATAGGAACCAATACCTACCTCAGCTGCATATCCTTCAGTCTGTAACCTCCTTACAGCCCTTTGGGCCGGGCATGACCATTGCAGCAGATAAGCAGCGATTCACTCCTAAGAGGTTTCAGAACTGGGTGTGGAGTGAGCTGAGAGACAGCTGAATTATTTCTGGGAGCCTCCTCTTCACTGCACCATGTGCCCCTGTCACCAGAGAGGAAGGGACCCTCTTGTCTCCTGCCTGGATGTTGTGGATGCCACTCACTGAGATACAGGAGCAGGCAGGAAGCTGGTGCTGGAGGAGGGTGCCCACGCTGTGGGGCTCAGGAGGAAAGGCCAGGGCAGCCAGCACTCACACGCTTTTGCTAGAGACTGCAGCACCTCCACTCTGCCTTCACAAGCTGTGCCCTCAGAAATATGAACCAAATATCAAATGTGGAATCTGAGTGTTATTAAGTGGCAGAGAGTTAGGAAAAAAGGCTAGAAAGCAGAGGAGAAAAATTCTTTACTGATTCTTCCACAGGAGATTGAGCTCAGTAGAACACAGCACAGCAGAAAATACCAAGTGTAAATAGTCTTCCAACTGCTTATTTGAGCCATTCACTACAATGTCAAAATTTAATTACTTAAAGACTAATAAGACAATAAAGTTTACTATACTATCTTTCCTTGCTTTAGTGTTTTGCTTGTTTGTTTGTTTGCTTTGTTTTTGTTGTTTGTGTGTATGGTTTTGGTTTGTTTGGTTTTTTTTCATTTCCACTGTCCAGGAAAGTTTTCATTATTCAGTTTTCAGGAGTGTAATTCATCTCATGGTGAGGCTGTGAAGTGTTCAGGTAACAGTGGCATGGAGCCTGTACAGACACCCACCTGTCTTCTGCTTCTTCCTTCTCATTTGCAGCTTTCTCCCATTCCCAGTTAATGAGCCTTTTTAGTTTCAGAAACCTAAATTCTGATTTACCCTCACTGTTCAGTCAGGTTTTTTTCTTTGTCTGGTTGGTTTTTCCTTTCCAAATCTAGATGCTCTTTTACTGAACTATTCTACCAGTGCAAATAACAGGGACAATTTAGTGTCTGATGGCTTATTGAATCATTTTCCTTTCATTCTTCTTCAGTGATGTTTTTATTTCATTCTTAATACTGTATAATTTTGAAACATATCTGGACATTAACCTGTAACTAAATTCTATACTTCAACATGTGTGGACCTTCTGAAAGGATTTCTTTCTCAGACATGCCACTTTTCTATTCTTAAGAGGAGAAAATCACAGTTTACTTAATAATAAACATTTCCTTTCCTCTCCCTTTCAAAAGATTTCCCTGTCTTCAGGGACAACTTCATGCAACTTCATGAAACCAGAAGGATTGTCCCTTATTTTTTGCTCCTGAATTTCAAAAATCTACTTATTTATCTGCTCCTACTAGGTTTGACTGGACAAAAGATATTAAACTCTCATCTAAAATAAATATACTGTTTCTAGTGCTGCATTTTGATAACCATCCTCACCTTGAGCAAACCTCAGCAATTGCAGCTGCATCTATTTATGACTGGGCACTACCAAGATTTCTGCTCCTATAACTGATGGATTTCCCCAGTTGCATACTGGAATTTTGCCAACAGACTTGGCAGAGAGCAAGGTTGCCGCAACTGGTAGGGAAATCATAATGGAATTTAACAGAATTTCATTGTATTTATTATTAGACAAGAGAAGAGAAGAAAAATGGCCAACTATAATATCACTCACAATCTCTCAAACAGAAACATAACACTTCACAATCTCTCAAACAGAAACATAAACTTTTATATGAGATTCGGTTTCCCAGAATAGCATCATTCCAATTCTGTAATCAACTGTTCCTCAGTGACCTTTTTTCTTGAATTTTGTGCAGCCTTGAAACATTGGCATTGCTGGTGCAGAGAGTTTGCAACACGCTTGTCACTGCCAAGCTATTTTGTCCCCTGTGCTTCCACACTAGGGGCTCAGCCTCACTCTCTTAATTCTTAAGCCAGAATCAGCAGTCAGGTTGTCACTCACATCACATTTACCTGCCTCTGGCAAGAAGACAAGAGCTATGTTTTCTTTGAAAAATTTCTACTGCAGTGTTGCCAAATCTTAATTAGCTGGGACAGACATGTTTCATTTGCTTAAACAAATGAGACTTCTAACGTCAGGTCAGGGCATACAGACTAAGGATAGGGAAAACAATGTAATTAGGTCTTTAATCCCACAGGTTTCCAGAGGAAGGGGCCTGTGACCAGAAACACTAAGCTCAGTTATGTTTGGGCACCACACATCCTCTTAGGGCATGGCTTAAGAGTGCCTCTTCCAGGCATCACTGCTTATTGGAAAGGAAATTGCTTTCCTCTTTGGAGCTGGTGTTGGTTGCAGCCACATTTTCTTTAATGACTTTTGGGGACACATAAGGGGACAAAAGAATCGACAGTTTGCTTATAATGAAGCCTATCCCTACAAAATCATTTCCTCAGCTTTATATAAAGTATGATGCTCAAATACAGTTGTCTCACCAGAGCACCACAGGGCAGGGCTTTGGCCAGAGGTGTTCGTCATGTGTGAAGGCAGCAGGGTTCCACATTCTGGAGGAAGCCCCTCTGTATAATTCATATGGAAGGAAAAAGACAAAATTATGGTAGAAATTGCAAGCAGAAACCTGTTTGAAGTATGCCAACCCTGCTACCCACCATGATCTTAGGGAAAAACTGGCAACTGAGAGGATTTCACAAAGGTAAAGTGTTTGGGACAAGCTCTCCACTGCTAGAAATGTATTAAACAGGGTTCAGATGTGTCTCTAACTGTGTATACATACATACTCAAGGATCCCTAACCATTAAATGTCCCCAGATTCATCTATTCTTTACCTTCCTCTGTAGCAAAAGGCTGAAAGAACAAATCATTCCCAAGTGTTTCCTTGCTTTTTGTGTGTAGCTTCTCCCTGCCTGACCAGCCCAGGTGTGTTTAAGCTTTGATAGCTGAGAATCATTTCTTTTGGAAAAAACAGGCTCCACAGGGTTTTCCACATGGTTTTCCACAGGCAAGGCATTCCTTCTTCACAGTTCTCTTTCACCCTTGTATTGTCTGGAAGGGAATTTCAAATCTGCAGGCCTAACATGATAAGCAAACTCCATCACTTGCATTATCAAAATCCTAAATTCTGCATCTTGGTGAAGATTTCAGAAGGAACAGAAATAGAGGTGTTTTCAATCCAATTCAGTGGGCTAATTTCCACCAAAGCTTTGCTTCGTCTGGTCATTTGTTTTTCAAATATATTTTAAAACAGAAGTGTATTTTTTGCCCTTGTAAACAAGAAAATTACATTAATTAAAAAAAAAAAAATTCTTATATATGTCTAGAACATTAAAATAAACTCTCCAATGACTCTTAACTTAAAATTACTTCAAAATACTTTTTGAATGTACACAATAATTCTGTAACAGAAATATCCAAGGTCTTTGTCTCTTCTTGCATTCTTCTGTTCTTCATGAGCAATGAATATTTCAAAAGCAGCCATTTATTGTAAGATAACGTTTCTTATAGTATGAATATCAATTATGTGGAAATGTGACTAATACAATTATTTTTTCCGAAGACAAGATAACCTGAAAAATACACCTTAACTCTTGCAGACACTTAATAAATGCTTAAGCCTTCATAAAGCAGAACCAAATTTGACAATTGCTATAACCAGTGGAATTAACATGTATGCCTCTGTGAAATTGGCTGCATGATTCTTCTGTTTCCCAAACACTGTCAAGAATCCAGCTAATAAATTTTGTCTTCTTGACCAGATGGAGTCTCTGGCATTGTACTGAATTTTATTATTCAAGAAACTTTTGCAAGTATTGATTGTATTTTCCCCGACAAGCATGAAACCAGCCATAAAGAGTGATGCCAAATTGTCTCAAGAAATCAAACAGTCTGGAAGAGCAGCTCAATCTTTTGCATCTTTAATAAGCAGTGTAATCATGCAGAAACACTTTTGACTTATAAAACTCCTCTTAGTTATGTTCTACAAATTTTCTTACATGTAAAGACATGCCCCAGGGTGCTTTAAAATGCAAACTCCACGTGGGAGATGGTGTGCTGTGCTCCTTATGCTGTGTTATCTTCCTGGTTTCATTAATACCATGTGTCAATGTAAAATAATATATTTTTGTATTCAATATATGATACAGAGGGTTTGATCTTTCATTCTTCTCCTCGGATTACACTCTGTGGTTTCTCTGTTCTGAAGAGCAGATAGATGTCTGTGCAGGGAGTGTTTCCTGTGGACAAGCCATGCAGATGATTAACCTTGGCACTGTCCCATGTCTCTCAGTGTAAAATTTTCACTGAGCAGATTCGAAGTAAATCATCCAGCCCACTTCACTTAATAATGCCTCTTTAACATGCTCTGCAATTATATCATTTGTGCTGTTGAGCTTGGCCATTTTCCTTCTCAGCTATTCATTTTCCCCCAAGGAATGGCCAAGGGGGCAGTTTAGCAGGCATTTCCAGTGACATAAGTGGTTAAACGAGGCAATGAGTTATCTTGCTGACCACAGGATTACTTTCTCATGGGAGCCACTGCAGTCAGGTGTCATATTTGTTTCAGGAAGAATTCTTCTTCCATCATAGACCACCTGGGAAGATTGATAAAGCTGGTCCCTTCCCTGCAAATACAAAACAGAAGGCTGGACAGAGAGTTTCATGTGTTATGGCCCATTCTGTGGTTCCTCTGGTGTGTCCACCCAGCCTCCAGAGAGTCCAGCAGCAACAGTCCAGAGCACCCAACAGCTGGCAGAAGGCACCAGAGGGATGTCTGAGCTTATCCAGGAGTATCAGCCATCCATGGCTGCCCCACTGGGCTTTGGTTTTAAAATTTCCAAATCCCTTACAGCAGATGGCAGAGAATTCCACGAGTCCAAACCTCAATTTTTACAATATTCCTACACATTTTGATGAGTGCATGCTCTCCCCTTCCTGCAGCAGGAGCTGTCAGCATGAGGTGGAACACAAAACTACTCTTGCTTCACTCCATTCCAATTCAGACCCAGTTCCTGACACCTTAGGTCACTGGCAGACTCATGGTATTTTATCCTTGTGCTTAGCTGGTATTGCTTTGCTGTGGGAAAGAGGCTTTCCTTCCCATCCTCCTCTCCTTTACTGTATTAGACGGTGTGGTCATTTAAAAAGTGAGTTTCTTATACAGCAGGGGTGTTCAAGCAGCTGTGACACTCTCAAACCATTAACACCTGACTTTGGGTTACTTCACTCCTGATTCATTTTTGCAATGATCAGATTCAAAATATTTTGAAATTTACTGTTAGGTAAAGACTACATGCAATTCATAGCAAGACAAACTACCTTCTTGGACCAGGAATGCTGACAGGGATGTTGTTACCAACATTTTCCATGCAAACTGCAGTGAGGGGTTCTGGTAGGATGGTTCTCATACCAGATCACATTTGAAAAGGAGTAATTCCTTGTGATTCACCATGCTTCTTTTCTGTGACTCCACAGAGTCGCATAATAGCTCCATAATGTCAGCAGCTAGAATCAGAGAGGGAAAATAGTTAGTATACATAGCAGGGTTCCTGAATCAAAGGCATCGTGGCCCATTTGGCAGAGTTTCACTCCTGAAGAAACATTTGAAGGGTTCTAGTTCAGTTTTAGCACAGAATAAAAGTCAGTAAAAAGAATATCAAAGGTGCCCCCAGACAGAATGGTTTCCTTCTGAGAAGTGGGATATATTATGCCAGATAAAGACTCTGTGTACAAAAAATGGATGCAGGTGAACTGAAGTTCAGGAAGTTTTATCCTCTTTAGGTGGGTTCCCATCCTTTAAGCATGTGATTAAGTGCAGGACCAAGTACAAGAAGTGAGACAGGCAAAATATAACTTGGTTCTAGGGAGGCATTTCAGATAGCTGTAAAGAATGCCTTTATCAGTGCACAAAGTAACCTTGGTAACAGAGCCAATGACTGGAAGTAGAAGGTAAAAAAGAAGTGTAGAGGAAATTTAAAAGAGTTTAAGTATAAGCAGATACAAACAAACCAAAAGATCATGGAGTGGAAATCAGAATTTATTTTCCTGTGGTCTAAATCAAAGGGAAGCTGCATTGAAGAATATTAGGGCACAAATACAGCAGTGGCTAAGAAATCTCTAAATGTGTCATGGGATTATTCTTGAAACATATTATTACCTAAAGAGGTTGACAGAGTATTCCCTTAACCAGAAATAAAGATAGAATAAATGAAATATGTATGGAGGGCAATTTCACAAACAGGAAAGCTACAAATATGCTCAAACCTGGGTTCCAAACTGTACTCTGTTGTAGATTTCCTAGGCTTTCCTTTGGAAAAAGTAATGCACAAAATTTCCTTATTTTTATTTTAATTCACACCACTTGTGAAAGAGATTGGTGTCCTCACTGTTTATACTGAAAGGGAGTTTCTCAATGCAAATTATCTGTAATGGAAGCCTGCATCTGTCACCTTTCTTCTCCTCCTCAAGGAGGAAACACAAACAACAAATCTCTTTTATACCAGCCTGCCAGCCATGGAAAGTCCTCTGAGGGGACACCAAGCACAAGAGCTATTCTAGGACACCACTTGTCTGTGGCTGACCATAGAAATTAAAATGCTGCAGCCATCAGTAAGGTTCTGATGTCTTCCCTTACTCTGCTGCAGAGATTTCTTGGTGAGAAAGAAAATGTAGCGCTCTATGATTTTATCCCTTAATTACCTGCCTATAATAAGTTAAGTTTTAATTCAGACAGTAATATTTGCTTTCTTCCAGCCTATCTATCTAGTTTATAAAGTCATTGATAGGGAAGAGCTTCCTTCTTCAACTATTCAAGGGCAAGATGCTCAGGGACTGACATAATTGAATTAAAGCCACAATGCAGTTATACTGCTTTATCTGAGCTGGTGACTTTCCCCTGAAAATTTTAAAGGAACACACTCCAGGACTGCTGGGTCTCTGATCCCAAAGCAAGAAAGGTGTTTGTTCTGTCCTGAAACAGATTTAAAAAGTGCTGCCATCAGTTCAGACAGAGTGTTGAAAACTCTACACCCTTTTGGTCTTTCACATGTTTAATATCATGTTCTAGAGGCACCCTGTGCTCCTCACCTCGTTGGTTCCCATTAGGTTCTGAAGTGTTAATAACACTAAATCATGCACTTATCAGGCAGGGTGGGTTTCTGGGCCTTTCCTCCCCCCGTGTCACATTTGGAGCAGGTGTGCTGTCTACATACATTGGAGACTCAGATTAATCTCTCTATTGCAATCACTGTTTGGCCATGAACTCTGGTACCTGAAAGTAATTGAAACTTGAAGAAAGTTGTGGTTGTGAATACAGGAGAGCACTAATGAACTGCAACACCTTCTCAATAGCACGAGCTCGACTTGCAATTATGAAAAGATTGGGTTCACGTGGCATTTTTTTTCCTGCTGTTATTTATCCAAACTTGAAAATGCCAAGGCAGCAAAATAAAGACTATTGTAATCAAGTTAGTTCAAAACCAGAAGAAATAGGAGCTCTTAGAAATAACAAATAAAGAGGTGATCAATAGTTTAAAGAATGAAGCCAGCTATGTCTCAAATTCTGGTAAACAAATGGAAATCTACCCAGAAAATTAATTTCTACTCCATTATATTTCAGTGTGACAAAATAAGTGATTTTCATTAGATTTTTCAGTAGGGTTTGTTTACCTAGTTTCAGAAAAATTCAATTTATATTCAGTGAGAATTTTGAGGTCTTGGATGCTTATCTAAATTCAATTAAGCACTTGGAGGGTCACTTACTGAAAATGCAACCAAAAAACTTTTAAAAAAATTGATTAAAGGTGTATAAAGGTCCCCTGTTCTATGTTACCCCACTTGAGTGGGAGGGTAGACAAGATGACCTCCAGAGGTCCCTTCCAATCTCAACCATTCAGTGATTCTGTGATTAATTGTTTAAATTTGTTACTGTAATCTCAGTTTGGTCTTTAAAAAAGGTGCAATATTTACTCTTTTTTTATTTTTTACTTCAAGTATCAGCACTGAAAACCAAAGAGACTGTCATTCAGTTGTCTGGCACCTTTGCTGGTGATGCATTACTATGTGCCATGATTTTGAAGGTTAAGCTGGTGCGCGCTTACTCTGTGTGCTCATAGAGTTTGAGCACAGCTTTATTCACCAGTAGAGCTGGTAAAATGTCCAAGTCATGGCAGCAGTGAGCAGCTGAGGAACAGAATTTGTGTTATCCCTTGGTACAGCTCCAAATATGCCATGTCTGATGGCATATTTGCATGTCATTTGCATGACTCTTCAGCTGCATTTTGTGCTGCAGATCTCAACAGCCAGAGCTCAGCAGATAAAATATATCTCAGATGGGTCAAAGCAGGTGTGAAAGTGGCTCAGGGAATGTTATTGATAAATGCAATATAAAGCCCTTCTCTATCCTGATACAGGCAAATGGATGACAGAAATTGGATTTTAGATGATCTTCTGCAATACCAATTAAAATGGTGTGTCCTGCTCCACCCTCATCCCTGCCCCAAGTGAGAGGATGCAGAGGTGTCTGAATTCCCCTGTACGGCTGTAACAGTTATAATCGTGCAACTTTTCACTTCTAGACAGCTGACAACATCACCTAATTAAAACAAAGACAAAAAATCAGATTTCAGCAGTCAAAGTATTAGCAGCAAGTGTATAAGAAGCCATCCTTCGATGTGCTTGCAGAGTAACGCTGACTTTCATAGGATAATTTAGATGACACCTACCTGAACTCTGCTGTTAAACATTTTCTGGAGTTTTGTCTGTGGATTTTCTGGTAACTGACAGTTTTTAGTGCTCCCACTGCACTCTTGTTTTAAGAGTTCCTTGAAACTGTCATTTATGAACCAAATGCCTCTCATCCTAAGCCAGAAGGAAAGTGGGGGGAAGGCCTAGCTCAAACAAGTGGATGCACAGGAGAATCACAAATATTTGTGCTTTGTGATGAGACTGTCTTAAATTTACCTGATCAAGTATCCAGACTGGAAGAGTATCTGAACACCTGAGTTCTGAGTCAAAAGCACAGAGGTGATTGGCACCACGAGAGCCACGAGAGCCCTGCTGGCACTGGCAGGTACCCAGAGCCCAGAGCAGAGAGCTGGGGCCTCACAATCACTGTAGTCACAGGCTGTAGAAAATGGGAGCAGCAGACATTTATTTTCAGTATGGTCTCTGAAAAAAGACAGTTCAATTGTTGAAGTGTGCTGCTTTGAAGAAAAGGATCTGAATTGGTCTCTGTATCAGGATGTTGAGGAAGGAAACAATTCTTCAGGGACTCCAGACTTTCCTCTTCTCTCAATATCCCCCACCATGCACACACCTGACAACTCCAGAGCTCAACAGCAGAGAATTTCAAACTGCTTAATCTGAGTAACCACTGAAGAGAAACTGCAGTAATAGAGAATAGAATTGCTGCCAGGAAAATGAAAACATTTCAAAAGAGAAGCCCTAGGAGCAGAAAAACAGCTTTGGTGGGAACTTTGTTGCAGAGGCCAACCCTCCCTTGGGTGGTTTTGGCAATTCAATTAGAAGCCTTTACAGGTTTAGCAGCTGATTGTTAAACACACACCTCCACCCTACAGTGCCTGCTGTTGACACACAATATCTGTTCTGTGTATTCAGGATTTCTCTGTGGCTCAGAGAACAAGTGAGCCCAAAGCTCTCACAACTGCTGAAGAGCACTAGAGGTTTTAAAATGAAGCAATGACAAGCCCTGGAGAGACACAGGGGATGCCCATATCTGGCCCCAGTATAGGAGAAGAGAAGGAAAACAAGCCTGCATGGGAATTAGAATCAAAGGGACTTTCCCTCGAAGGAGAATCTGTCTCCTCAGGGCATATTATTGGGATAAGGCTTCAGAGCTGCTTTTTTAGCCTTTGAAACGTGCTGTGCTGAACAGGAGGAAGGCAAGAGAGAAGGAGACAATGAGGGCCTCTGTGTCTGGGATTGTGGTTGTCTAAACAAACAGATGGCCAATTTACAGTGTTTTCTTCAAGTAAATCTCCACAGAAGAGAATTTAGCTTGAGTTTGAACCATAATAAAAAGAGATTTGTGAATTTATTTCTGATTTTGAGGGAAGAGGGACATTACTGGTCTCCTAAGTATCTATAGATTTTAATTAATTCTGATAAAACTTACATTCCTCAAGTGGCAAAGCATCCAGACATATTTTTGCTTTTCACATAGAGACAGGAAGAAGTGAGGTACCAGGACTTGAACTGTGAAAGTGTGAGTTTTTTGCTTGTAACCTATGGCAGATCTCTTCATTTCTATTTCTCATTGCTTTCATTTAAAATGTAACAGTTAAATATCTCAGAAAATCAAACTGCAGCCTTATATTTCACCCAGTTTTCACTGAAAAGTCTAATTTGCTTGAAAAACGCTCCATATTTTCCCAAAACAAAATATGAGAGACAATGAGTAGGAATCAAGTATTCAATATGTTTTGAAATACAAAGTCATGGTGCTTGAATAGAGCTTAGCAGAGGAGTGTTTATACTACAGTTGTTGAAATTCTTCTAATCCATTATGGGTTACCCTTGCCTTCACCAGCTCCCTTAGCTTGACTGCAAAATAGCTCAATTTAAGCCCATCTACCCCAGGCAGTTTTAGAAGAGGTTTCAAAATTGATATTTAGGAAAGTCCATCGTATACAAGTGATTTTCTACACTGAATATTGCAATATTCCACAGTGTTGTCAGTATGAGCAACTAAAACCAAACCACAGAAGTGCACTTGTACTGACTTTTTCCAATTACACAGCCAATGAAGGGGGGTAGAAGCAAGGCAGATGAACACTTCTAATATGAAGTTGAGTAACCCAAGAGGATTTAAAGGTGAATGGAAGGTCGATGTTAATTTAAAATATAAAATGTCTTCTTGATGTTATTTCTCTGTGCAGTTTGGTGACTCCTGAAAGTGCAATAACTCCAGCCTGAGTCTGGAGTAAATGAAAAACAAAATACTAATTGTAGCTTACTCTTTGGCCACATTCTTCAATGACTGCTGATGTAGGTTCCCTGATCCTCGTATTTAATCACTAAAAACACAAAATCCATTTCCCCTGTCTCAGATGCCTCTGTTGGAGTGCAGCACCGTGGTACCCATATTCCTGTACTTCACCTGCTGCCAGTGCCACTGTTATCAGCACAAACTTGCCACTTCCAGTAGAGAGTTGCCTGACAGTGTGAAGCAATTCAGGGATTCGTGGAGGAAAAAAATTGAGGTGGAGGTAGAAAAAGTTTAATTAAAATATTCAATTTGTATCATATGCAAAAGGTCAGTGTGATTCAATGAGAATCTGTAAATGCATAGATACGTAGCCTCTGCTGGCATCAGACATCAACTTGTAGGGGATAAACCTATTGTTTGCTGGCAGATAAAATACGTATGAAAATGTCTTTCAAAACCCTGGTTCCCATTTCATGTTGTCACAAAAATCCAAAAGCAGCATTTATGTCTAACACTGCTGATTTTTCCTCCTAATGGCTCCTGTGAGCCCAGCCTGCAGCGAGGATGAGAACACCACGGGCTCCCTGCCTGGGGTGCCAGAGGTGAGGTGGAGCCCTCCTGAAATCTGAAAGGTGGCATGCATTTTGCTATGAGCTCTCTCATCCAAATAACCCAAGGTAATTCAAATAAAACAAGGTAACTTAAACATTTAGCTACATCAAATTTCTCTTTTGGTGGCAGCTGTTAAAAATAAATAAATAAATAAATTAAATATTCTAGTTGTACACATGTTTACTTGAAATCAAAACCAGGATTTTCCTTCTATTGGGTTTAGGTTCCCTTTCCATACTGAAACAAACTTTTCTCCTCTATTTCCTCCCATATTGTGTTAACAATTACAGCAAATGAAGAGAGCACATAATTTATCAAAAATGTTTCCATGAAAATGAAAACTAGAAACCATTAAGAAAATGTTAACCATCATGTCAAAAATTATCCATGGCCCAAAATAATCAAATGAAAACAAGTGAATTTCTGAGTTCATGCTGAAACATGTGGTGTCTTTTTAAAATGGACATCTCTTCAAAAAGCCCCTTCTCTGGCATGTTCATGGATATCCATTTTTATGGATGCACTTGCATGAATGCTCTCTATGTCTTCATTCAACCAAGAGAGTGTCCTCTCAAAGATACTTCTTTCTTTTGTTGTTTTTTGCTGGAAAATAGACACTAGGAGAGAAGCTATCTAAAATCTTTTGAATGAATCTTTTTCTTAAAAATCTAGAATATAAAAAATTAAAAAAATACACCACCAAGAAACAAAACAGGATGTTTTCACTGTAATATTAGTTATAAAATATTTCAAGTAGAACATTTCATTAAAAAAATGTTTCAATAAAAAAAAAAACCAAACCAATCCCAACACTAATATATCCAGTTGTCAGAAGTATTGTACAAATTTTTGAATGCCAAATACATCAGCCTTTTGAGATTAATGATCTTCTCTTTGGTCAAGAGAGAAAACATTTTGCAGTCCAATATTTCCACACTAAGATTGTTTTCCACTTTCTTTTATGTGCAAATAGTTGAGATGTCAAAATTTCATCAGTGTGGGCTGAAAACAAATTAGTGATATTTCCTACAGGGAGACAATTCAATTTTCCACATTTCTCTGGCCGAGAAGCTATTCAGACCAAGGCGAGTTTTTATAGCATGAGGGCTTTGAAGCACCTGAATACCCACAAGTCCTATTAAGACTTGGTTTATGTTCTTTAAGACTCTTCACCTCCATCCTTCAGCTCTCCTCAGAGTGCACACTTTTAAGGAAAAAGCTTTCCCAAAGAGATAGTACGGCAACTGAAATAATAACTGTCAAACTTCAGTATAAGGTCAAGCAGATAAATGGATTACTGTCTGCAATAGTTACTCTTAATTAGCTGCAATTATTGCCACCCTAATGAAGTCAATGGGCTAAAGGGAAATATAGAGTTGGCAAAATTAGATGGTGGAAGTGGTTAGGTTAGCCAAGATAGAATATGTAAGGCTCTAATGCACTCCTAAATAATTACATCACGTACAAAGTTGAGAAATGCAATGGGCAGTCTCAGGTGCATCCATGTACAAACATCAGCTTTGAAATCAAAGCAACCTTTTTAGGGAAAGAAATAAAAAACAACAATTAAGGGCCTCTTGTTAATGAGAAACATAAAACTGAAGAGGAAGAAAGTGAATAAAATGAAGAGTTAAGTGTCTCACCCACAGTGGTTTGAGCCCTCTTGTCTTTTGTTTCAATTATCTTCTCTCTAAGAAATAAAAAAAAACAGAAATGTGAAGGTCTAAAGACACTGAGGGAACATCTTCCCTCCTCCCACTGAGGGAGACATCTTACTTCATTCAGTGTAAGAAGGAATTGAAGATGCTAGGGAATTTTTTTGGCAAAGAAAATAATATCAATCACGACATAGTCATAAAATTTAAATTAATTGCATTGAGAAAGCTAAATAGAGCTAAATAGAGATGCCTGCCTACCTTGAGTTGAATAGCACAGGATGCATTAATAGTCAGCAAATGAACAGCAGGGGAAATCGTTTCATGCAACATTTAATTGAATTGTTGTTTCTCACTGCAGGGAAATTTTACTGACACTAAAAGCTTGGCAAGATTAAAAAAGCAGTTGGTGTTTGTATGAGTTACATGCTGGATACATGCCTGTGTTTTGGAGTTTCTGTTGAACAAGGTGCTTGGCTGGAAACCTCAGGCTTGATCCCTTTTCCTTGAGAGTAGATGTAGAGCTTTAGGATGGGAAGAATTTCAGTTCCCTGTCCTGCTATGACCTCACCACCATGACTGTCAAGAATACTTTGTTATTCACTTTAAATGGTAGCAGAATAGAGAAAATTCTAGAAATCTTACTTCTTGGAAATCCTTTCTTTAGTTCTTGCTCTAAGACATTCAAGTGGCAAGCGAGGTGACAGAAAAGTTTTTCACCATTTTCTGCATTCACCAAAGGCCAGGTAAATACCTTACGTCTTATCTTTAGTCCTCCAACACAATCTGCCTCAGCACTATGGGGACTCAGATGTCTGTGATGCTAGGATAACTCTGACAAGAAAGAAAATAGAATTGTTTATGTGATTTTACCCCATTTTGTTATCTTGAATTCTCTCATGTATTTCCTGCTGTGTCATATTATTAGAAGATAAACCACCAGTAACATAACAGCAGTCACATGTAAAAGCAATACTACATTTGCACAGGAGACAAAATAATTTCAACAACCTTTATCAAGTACTATTATATACAACATGAAAATAATAATACCCATATAAGCAGAAGCTGTGTTTTGTCTTGCAGGGCTTCACGGGGGCTCAATCCCAAAACTATTGAAACATAGTGAAAAAAAGTTCCATCTCACTTAGTAAGCTTGGATCCAGCTCCAGAAAAAATAAATAAATAAAATTATGGCATAAGTTTTTTATTTGATCAGAAATCCAGTTTACCATGTTCCTCATCAGCCCCAGATGCCATTCATTTATGCTTCTAGATACTTATGCTTTATACATATAGTTTGGGAAGCTAGGGAGAAATTCCTGGAGAGCACATGCTATGCTGGAGAACATCTACCAAAGGGAAGATTTTCTGCAGTGAGTTAGCCCTGCTGACTTGTGTCCAGTGCTACTCTGTAGCATTGTCCCATATTACACTTGCATTAAGCAAAGAGTCACTGAAACAGGATTTGTCCTATTCTGTGCTGTTTTCTAGGAAGATTTTTTTTTTTTTTTCCAAGCCTTGCCTCAAGCGAGAAATTGCTCTCCTAAGTTCTGTAGCATTCTGTTACTATTTGTTCTTATCTTGTCTCACTTTCTTCTTGCCTTCTGGACACAGCACCTGAACCCAAGTGCAATTAATAGCAAATCAATTCAGACTTGGGAAAATTCTCCAAATGAAAATGGTGAAAGAAGAGCACTCTTATCTCCTGTTATATACTTCTGACAAAGTATAATTAAAATATTTTCATGCTGGCTTGCCTGCTCTGTCTGCCTTTCATGAATGATGAAGTCTATCAAGCTATTATTTGTCTACACATTGTGTGAGGAAGGATTAAACCAGTGAAGTGTTCAATATCAGTAAATGATCTGGAACTCCATAAAAAACATCAATTATTATGCAGCTAAAGACATTTCAGAGATGTCTCAGGAAGCTGGCGTTTTGTCTTCATTCCTCTGGTGATGGAGTGTAGGGATGACTGTCTCCAGAGACAGAACATGTACAACTAAAATGAACACGTTCCTTTCTGCACAGTCCTGTAAGCTACAGAACTGTGCAGAAAGGAGGGGGATTTTCTCAGTTATCTATTAGGATGTACTGGAAGAAAAATGGAGCCTAAGTCTGTGCAGAAAAAGATGCCTTACTTATATCTCAGAAAAGATGTACTTCTCTGCCTAAGCCACTCCATTTTGGGCTGACACAATGCAATGGTACCACGTCCTGAGATCACAAACCTTTGAGGATTTTTGGTGAAGCAATCAAAAAGACTGTAATAAATTTGAATGTATTGCTGTCTGGCTGAATGGTAGGCAGCCTGGAAACCTGTTGACTACGAAACAGATCCCTGCTCCAAGCCACATTGTCACCTTCTGGTTATTTTTTGAGTGGTAGGTAACGTTAATGTAGAGCCAAAGAGGATGTGAAACATCGAGCAGGCACCATTCCCAAGGTCTTTTCCATAAGCAAAAAAAAAAGTTTCAACTAAAGTAAATAATATATTTGCAGTGTAGAGACTGAGTATAAGCCTCGATGAAATGATGATGTACAAAAAATACTGCTGGTGACCTTAAGTTACACAACAAAACGACAGAGGACATCTAAAAATTAATTCTAACTCATTAAATGCATTGCTCACTTAATGAATGATTCATGATTCGTATTGCTCAAGTTGCCAAACATTACCTCAAATTATAGATTGGGCACATCCTGTCAGCAGTATTAATAATTGCAATTATGTCAGTGTAAGTACCTTCAGATACAAAAGCCAATACATTATCTTCTCCAAGCCTTTCTCCTCATCCTCAGAGCAGGACTAAGCTCAGGTCCCTGGAGCACACGAGAGCACAGAGAGGGAACACTTTTTTTTTTCAAAAAACCACCATATTTGGGAGATCTAAAGGTCTAACAAAGGCTGAAAGATGTGCATGGTCAGGGTTGATCTCAGCACACCTTTTGATAACCAAATAGTGTTGGACCATGAGAACACAGGACTTGCCCAGTGAGTTTCTAATCCTCCCTCTGTGTCCATTATTGCTTCAAATCTTATCAGCTATTTAGGAAGCTCCTAAACAAACAACAGGATGAATAGCTGTAACTCAAAAAAAAAGGGGGAAAAAAAACTCTGTAAGTTGTAGTGGCTAGAAATTGTCCTGGGGATCCAGCTACAGGTGAGCAAGAACCAGAACACCGTCTCCCTGTGCATATAGTCTTGCAGACCTGTATTATGAACATTTTGCATGTACTTTTTGTGAGGCCACACGTTCAGTAATGTTTAAATGATGGGGAGACCACAAACCACTGGGTGCAGTGTGCTCTGCTGCCATATGTGCAGCAGTGAAAACCCAGCCCCTGTACCAGTCACATCTGTGGGCTTTCAAATTTCTCTAAAGCTCCTAGCTGAGAGGAATGGGGCAAAATAAGCATTGAGTTCAATCTCTGTCTGACACAGAGTGCATTTCATGTGATCACTGCATCCTCTCCTTTTTCTCTTCAAGCTAGACGCTGTCAGTCTCTGATGTCTCAGCAGGTCAGCTAAATTAACCTTAGTAGAGACAGAAGAGATAAAAGACCTTTCTATCTGAAATGTTCAGAGGGAAGAATCTTAACCCAGGGTAGTCATTATACAGATTGGAACCAGCTGCTTATAGGACTTTGTGGTAAATATCAGAGTGAAGCTTATAAATTAATTGTTTACTTATTTAATTACCTACTTCTTGGACAATATGAAGCATTTAAAGGAACTTTTGAGGTAATAAATACCATAATTGAACCAGGATATGAAAAGACATAATGTAAATTGGTTTTGGTTCTTTTTTAGCAGGGAATTTTTTATGACTCAACAGAAAAACAAGAAGCAGGAAATCTATTTCTATAGTGAAGCACAAAAAAACTCTCCCTGCTGTAGTGACAGGATTAGAAGATGTAAATATTGTAGAGTTGTCAAAGCATCTGCTTTAGGATTTCAGATTAACTACATGGTTTGAATGGAGTTTCTAAAATGTGCTAACCAGAAGGGTTTATTGAACTTTCTAGAGCTGGATATGATTTACTTTCTTTAAGTGCAAAAAAAACCAAGGCAATCTTTCTTCATGTTGAAAAATTGCAGAGGTCAAAGTCACTTTGCTGCTTATTGAAGTAGATACTGAACTGCCATCATTGCATTCACTGACCTTTTGTCTCAGTTTGACTCAGGGTGAGAAACTGAGCAGCGCTTTCATATAAATTACCACTATAATCTACAACAGGGTGCTTGATTTTTTCTCTTTTCTTTGCTCCCCCCTCACCTCACGAAGCAGCTTTTTCCCTCCCCAGTGAGTGTTACACCAGAGGAGTACCAGCAAATTTACACTGCTTGGTTTGCACTGCTTGCTTTACTCATAGGTAAACTCCATTTCCCTGTGCCTCCCCTCAGTTGTAGTGTCACTACACACTGCTTAGATCCATATCTCTTATTCTGCACCCCAAATCCCTCTGATATTGCCCTGGCATTTCAAATAAATGATGCCTAGCTGTCTGAAATATGCCAAGGAAGGCATTTGTGAGCTGTCCGGTTGCAATCATCTATTCCATAGCAACAATACAAAAAGTCAGGCAAAAAAAAATTATGGGGGAACCCTTGTATTTTTATGATCCAGTTTATTTGCCATGAGCAGGCCACAGCTGGATCTCTCCAGCCCCAAGAGAACATGAGTGTAGGCAGGTTTGACTTGTAACCCGGTACAAGATGAATGGGCAGCATTAGGGGAATGACAGAGCAGCAGAACACAATAAAAAGCAGCTCATGAGGGAGGCTGGCTGGTCAGCTTTATTACCATGCTGTTTACTCCACTCTTTGCAAGGTATTTATAACATACCTATTTGACTGTTGTTTTCTCCACGTCAGGTTGCACAATAATTTGTGGAGGAGAGATGAGACAAAGATGAGATATTGAAAGACTCCCTAAGAATAAACTGGATAAGAGATTAAATGGCTCAGCTGAGATACTTGGGTTAGGACCCTAAGAGGGAGCAGAGTGGAAGATTTTGGGTGCCTGAT